CAAAAAAGCGGGGGTTTATGAATAAGCTGTTAAGCAAAGTGAATCACCTTTCAGACAGTGCAATTTTCGCGGCAGCAAAGTTGGCTCTGAATTCTTCGGAAGTACACCCCTCCTTTTGACAGTAGGTTTCAAGGGTTTCGAGGTGCGCGTGAATGAAAGCTAAGTCTAGTTCAATGACCTGAAAATCAAAAAGCAAATTAAGACCAAGAGACTGTAAATTTGAAATATATAAACTACTAAAATAAAGAAAGTAGACGTTTAATATAACAGGTCACATGTAACCTACCGTTCCTAAAACCCGGGCGGTATCCCTGACGTAGATATCGAACTCAGACAGAACTTGGAAATTTCCTAGCGTGGAAAACTGTTCCAAGTAGTTATCGGAGCGCGCCATAGAGCTCGTATCATCTTCACTGACAGGTGTTTTGTCAAGCGGAAAGAGTACAGAGCTCAGCGATTGGTGGAATGCTCCAATAAGATGAGTGGGTGATTGCAGGATATTCGGATACTGCTGGGCCTCGACACTGTAGGTCACAAAGTTTGAAAGGTAGTTGCAAACGCTAGCATAAACACGCTTTTCTGCCTCAGTTACAGCATGGAGGATATATGTGGAAGAGTACTGGAGGTTGATACAGAGCTGGCACTGTCGTACACCTTCCAGGGCGGCGGATATCTTATCCACAGCAACAGCGACAGTGGCAATATAATCGGCCGGAAGCTGAAGGGCACAAACGAGGACGAAAAACGTAAGACTGCTTTGCCATGATGGAAATGTAAAATTGAAAGACTAAAAATATGAGTTATGAGGCACTTTACCAGGTTTACAAACAAGCAGGCGGCTTCGGTCAAATCTTAGTGGGCCAAATTAACATGGATGTTATACGGAGCTGTGCCAAGAGTGGAATGACTGCTGAGGTCGTATCTTGCATCGTGACTAATATTTCAGCTATGCCCCCTTAAACTGAACACTGTATATGGCCGTTGTGCGAGAAATGGGCGGGCTTCT